GTTAAGATTAGGGTGTAATGTTGACTTGGGTCAGGGATCGGTATCGTCCTAACATAGATTAGAGATTAATGGATTGGTTCTCTTAGAGATTAGCTGAATAGCTTAGATCTCCAACATACTTTACCTTTATATTCTAAACTAGCTTAAACTAGCTCTTAATAAGCGCTAGATCTTTATAGAGAGCTTACTAGTAATTATATAGATAGCTCTAGTGCGTATATAGTTTAGAATTACGCTAGATAAACCTATTAATCTAGTTCTTACTAATCTTCTCTCTACTATACTCTTAGAGTAATCTATTAGCTATATCTTATACGTCGTCTCTTCTATAGAATAGTTCTTACTTAGCCTTAACTATTATACGTTAAGTAATAACCTACTCTTCTAGTTTTATCAGGCGCCTTACTAGTAGCTCCTAATTGCTTTATAAGTACTATCTAACTTATTAACGCTAGATTATTATTCGCGGGACGCTATAGGCGGCAGCAGCGCGTCTTTTACTTTAAATCTTCTTTAAATTAATATTAGAGATAGTAATAAATAAATCTACTTTAGTATAGGTTCTTAACGCGCTGCGTTATTAAGATATTACGCGTTATTGTTGCAAAGGTGGGATATCATGAGGAAGTGGCCCACATACTGGGGTGGCCCGCTTACTGGTGAAACACGTTATAAATTTTATTTAGTTGTGGTAGAGCTGTATACGTAAAGAGGTGCGCAAAGTTAGTGGGGCGCGCCGCTCGCTTGTAGAACACGTTAGCCACGACGGTCAACATCCGAATGGGCGGACGCGCACTAAGCATGCATGGCTCTTCTGGATTACTTCAAAGAAGTAACCACGCCAACTTCGCCTGGCGAATCAGAAAAGAGGGAGGCAGAATTCAACAGTGACACATATAAAGGAGGTGGATATCGATTGAGGATATGAGGGATGCAGTACAAGAGACCTTTCACGACTTATATGGACTATGTTAGCATGGGCCCGATGTGCATGGGCCCTAGAGATATCGCCATTGTGTTTATGGGGAAGAGACTGCCTTGAGTCGTTCGTGGCCGTGGCGACGTGAGTTTTTAGTTTATTGGGGAGTGCTATTGCGATGTGATTATGGATGGCGAGATTGTTTGATAAAGAATAAGACAAAGTTTCTATCTTGTATAACTCTGTGGTTTAAACATAAAATGGCGTGGTTGCAGTAGGTATGCGCTGAGCTGATTAACCCTCGACTATATGGTGCTGTAGAATGTCCTTCGCTTGGAGTAAAATTAGTTACCCTCCTCTCAACTCATATACAATGAAGGAGTATCTTTGCCCTGACTCACCTCCCGCCCTCTCTTTCAAAAAAAAGGAAATAGTTCAACATCTACGCCAAGATCTTGGGTAGTAGTCTCTTGCAAGCTCCCCAGATATAAGCAGAATCCTGTCCTGCCCAAATAGCACCCACGTAGTATGTGCTAGAAGTGCCTTGTAGATCATTCAGCTTTGTATAGAAACCCGATTTTATATCCTCGTTAGAAACAAAGTTCATGTATTGATCGTGATTGAACCATTCAACGATTTCGTTCTTGCTCGCTGGCAGTACTCCATTTGCGATCAACTTTTGAACCTGCGACTTGAACAGGGTCTGCGCATACTGAATAGAAGCTTCGCCTATAAAGCAGACGTAGGAGAAGTACGATGAGTCGCTGAAGCCAGTAGGAGAGGTATTAATTGTTCCAGGAAGCCTAGCGATGCCAAGCGAGGAGCTGGGTCCGACGCCGGTAATGGAGGCGTTGTTCCATTCTGGATTGCGGGTAATGGCAATGTGAGTGTTCTTGCTCTGAAATTTACGAAAGAGCTGGACCTCGTTCGAAGACAGATCCCATCCAGCAAAGTTCTGGATCAACGGAGGCGCGGCCATGACGATCTTGTCTGCCTCATAACAGATTCTCCCTCTAGGCGTCTTTACGATGACAGTGACGCTACTCTCGCTCCGTTTTACACTTTGAACGGTTGAGTTGAGCAATACCCTATTTCCTAGTATTTTTGCTGCGTTGATGTAGATCTCGTCGACATTTTTGGGCGCAACGATACCGCCAGGTTCAAGAGAAGCATTGATAGACTGGATACCATAGTTTTTGATGACGTACAATGTGGATTCTTTCTCAAAGTCGACGGGCGCGATGACAAGAGATAGGAATGGAAGGATAGCGTCCAATCCATACTTGCCACAAAATTCCGAAAATGGCAATAATAGTTCGTCAGGGACTGGGTCCGGCAGGAAGAATCCTTCTTCCAGGTACGAGTATTTCTCCTCGATGATGGAACGGAAGGTCTTCCAACTCGATTCAGCGCCGGCTGGCGCTGTGTAATTCTTCACCTCCAGGCCGGTCATGTAATCCACGTTCAGATTTGTCGGGGCAGTGTATGAGAGAAACGGACCAGCGGTGACGTTTACTCTTGTCAGATAGTCGTTAACAACCGAGATATTGGGCAAAGACTGAACTCCTACATTGCGAGGTGTTTTGAAGATTGGATCGAAATATGTGTTGGCGTGACTTCCAATGGCGCTTGACTTTTCAACAATTACCACATCTTTTCCCTCATCCATTAGCGAAATTCCAGTATAAATGCCACTGGAGCCACCGCCAACTACAACGACATCTTTCTTAATCGTTCGAAGCCCTACAACTCCTTGGAGGAACAGGATAGTAGAGAAAAGATTCTTCATTGAGGCGAAAAAAGTTTGTGGAGAGAGTTCAGTGCTTGAATTGTGAGATGCGAAACTGAGTGCAGCTGATGCACGTATCATTTATACAATAATTAAGTTTGTGCGAAACCCGTCCAGGGCTTATTAGTACTATGGAGATTCACAGCGGAAACGGACCGAGCTCGCATCAATGCTGAAGCTCAGATGCGCTTGCACGTTCAGATCAGCTCTAGTGAAAGATATCACGTGTCGATCTACAATAGTCTGTATGGAAACTAACTCGAAGTGCCAAATATGAATGGTAGTCGGCCCTGATCTTGAAAGTAACGGTATTAGATACTTCTGTCATTCAAGACCCCTGGCTATGACATTTGCGCCACGCTCGGGCCGTTTACACTACGCTTACCCAATGCTATTGCAGAAGTAGGAGATAACTCTCTAAGAGAGGAAATTTATCCCCAGTCCCAAGCGGATATGTGTACGACCAAATTGCAACACGACAAAGTGATTCAATCTCAACATACTTACTTTTGGGTAAAATTTTGTTTAGAATGACGTTCACATCATTATTCATCTTTTTGGAATAAATTTCAGGCTTTTAAGAGACTTTGCCTCGATTATTCTGATTATATGTGAGACTTTCTGAGCCCTCTATTCATAAATAAATTCTCAAAGATTATGCGCATAGAACCCCAGATACAAACGCTGCAAGGTCAGTCCCTGCGTGCCGAAAAACCCTATGTGCCGAAAACGACCAATCGGATCGCAAGGATCATGGACTTCTCTCTAAACGTCGCGATCCGGTTAGTCGTTTTTAGCACAGAGTTTTTCGGCACACAGGGACGGATCTTACTACATCTCTTCATTGATCACATCTTCAGATTTCCGCCGACATGTCTTCACGATCATAACTACTTTGCCTAGATCCCTTTCCCTCACATTTTATTATAACTTCTGGTCGAAGCGTTATATAATCAGTAAGGTCCCCTAATTTAGTACTCTCTACTTCTTGTCTTTACTGTATATTACCGTGAGCTATACTTGCCGGCATATACCTAACTGAAGGGCTTTGCTTATCTATTAAATTTTATCTACAGACTAGCCTAAAGTACATGCTTAGATTTATGTAAGGATATATATATAGGTTCCGAGAGCTCCGAGTAGTATATAGGTTCTGAAAGTTCCGGGTATTATACAGGTTCCGAGAGTTCCGGGCGGCATACCTACAGGTTCCGAGAACTCCGGGTAATACCCCGTACTCGTCCTACTGCACTAGGGGGCACCCTAGTTGCGCACGGACCCCTCGCTCAACGTAAATTTTTGTCCTATTGTCAGAATATGAGTAGTTATATGTCGGGTGGTGGATAGAATCCGGGTGCTCCGGAGCATCCGATTCTGTGATTAAGTCAGCATGCACGATTCACCGCGATCATCTACAAAGGGGTCAGCGTAAGGTCCGTCCCTGTGTGCCGAAAAACTCTATGTGCTAAAAACGACTAATCGGATCGCGACGTTTAGAGAGAAGTCCATGATCCTTGCGATCCGATTGATCGTTTTCGGCACATAGGGTTTTTCGGCACGCAGGGACTGACCTTAGATCAGATCAGACAGAACACAGAACACGATAAATCAATTATCACAGATTTTTATCACAGTTATTACACCCGTCTTTAAAAACCATCACAATCTAACACCTATCTATATATTTTATACGTAGAATCTGTTGAAGATATGGGGTCGCTGCTTGTCCTAGCAGACTTAGAGGTAGCGGTCTCTGCCTACTACTTGTCCTGGTAGGCTCAGAGACAGCGTGATCGGGAGATTCTAGGAGAGGAGTAGACTGATCAAAGAAGAAGAGTTGATTGATTTTGTAAGGGGCTGCGCTCCGGGGAGCAATCGCGAGGTATACAAGAGGTTGTATTCGATAGAGAGCTAGCTACTACTGTAAGCACTTAAGGTTATAGGAATTATTGTGTGTTCTGGTGTGTGTCATGATAGGAGCAAGTTTAGATACAGCATTATTGGTCAGTGAGCAACCACGTGACTATACATGGTACTTCTAGGCTTACACACCTCTCTTAGTTTCGAACGCATGTTAAAGCTGATATAATTATAGGCCGCCCCTACTCTACAGAGTAGAGCTACTTGCACGAGTGCGGTAGGTAGCCGCTTAAATTAGAGCAGTGCCAGGTAGGGATCGTCCGCCGTCGCGGTATTAGTAGACCTCGCTCTATACTATAGGCGTCCCTAGTAGTTAGACGTCTTCTAGAGCTAGTACTAAGGTCCTAATTACTTCTCGTTCTTATACAGAGTTTAATAGTATACCTTAATATTAAAAGAAAAGAGCTTTATAAGTATATAGCCTTATTAAACCTATAAACACTGTTTAGAAAAAAATAGGAAGAGTACTATACTATATAGCTTTATTTTACTTAGTAGAAAATATATTAAAATATAAGAGCAATAACGTGTTTCACCACTAAGTTGTTAACCCACCAAGTCATCAGCTCCACCACCACACCCCACCTTTACAATAACAACGCGTAATATCTTAACAACCTAACGTACAATAAGCCTACAGTAAAGTAGATATTAACTTAGCGATTTAAAGTCTTACTTTAAAATAGCTCTAGACTAAAATACGCGCTACTATCGTATATAGTATCCTATAAACGATAATCTAAGAGTAGGCTGGTCATTAGGTCTCCACATCGGGATCTCAAAAACGCTATTATCTCCACCAATACTTACCCGATTGGGAAGTCTAGTAGCTTATTTTAAAGCTCTCTATTAGGGCTTTATTCTGCTATATTAGAGTAATACGCTAGCTATACTATATAAGGAGATATTTAAGATCGGAGTAAAATATGGAGACCTAACTCTTGGCAAGGTGGGTAGGCTAATAACTTCTTACCTATTAGAGTTATCCTATTACTGTATTATACAAGAATAAAGCTTAGATCAAGGGCTACAACATGGGCTACTAAGCTTCCCGATTGGGTAAGTATTGGTGGAGTGAATTAAGAAAAACGATCCCGAGGTGGAGACCTAACTTACCACGCTAGTAGTAATAAAGCGCTAGAGGCTTAAAAGGAAGCGAATTTAGATAGGTAGGATACTAGACTTTAGTGTAGAAGTACATAAAATTACTTCTGTTAGTCGTACGACATTAAAGAAGGCGCGTAGTGAGGGTAGTTAAGAAAGGGTTCTACTAGGTTAGCGGCACTATAGAACCTATAGGAAGATAGGCTATAACGCTCGTACGTGCTAAAAAGACGTAGAAGAAGATTCTCCTTTAGATATAAGTAAGTCGTACGAAGCATCTATAGCTAGTGTCGAGTAATTTAAGTTTTTATACATAATGTTCGCGATGCTAAGAAAAAGTGGCACACTCGGTGGGGTGGCACTCTCGGTGGTGGAATACGTTAGTATGAATATATTCTATCGCGTCGCATCACGTCGCGTCGCGTGCTATCTAGAGAAGACGAGCGTAGTAAGACGCGGGTCTATAGGGGCTTAGACGGGCCGACAGCGGGAGGTAGAGTAAGCCCCCTAGCGAGGGGGCTTTATAGAGGGTAGATCTACGAGATAGTAAGCGTAGGAGGGGCTTTGCAGAGGGCGTCCGTATGCCATAGGGGTCTTCGCTAGGCGTGTTGGAAATCTATCCTAAAGGTACCTATGGTCCCACGCGCCAGCCATCCTCTGTTGAGTCGACATCGTGACTCTGTCGCATGTCGCACTCTCATACTATGCCGTTCAAGATCACGCAATTTACTGCTAAACAGATTCTTCTAGAATCTATCTTAGCCAATATATATATAGTAGTAGTATAGGAAGTAGATAGAAGAGTACAGCAGTTAGAGAAGTCTGATCAGAACAGAACAGTTATGCAAATTTGATCCAGATCCATTGATCTTTATTATCTACCTATCTCCCTTAGCAATGCCTAGCTATAATCTATCGATCAGTCTACCTCTAAGTCTCGAAATAGAACAGGCAGACCTTTTATTCCAACATAGAGATTTCCATCTAAGAACTAGAATACTCGTTCACTCTTCTTTTTTCTAAGTAAATATGCTTCGGTATCAATGGTGCGGTTCAAGGGCACATCCGACAGAAATCACCATTGTATTGGTTCAAGACGAACACCGCCGAAAGAAAACCCTCCATACCACTGACGCTCGAACTCCTTTGAGATAACAAAAGCCATATGTCCATCAACGTCCACGTCCACATAGAGGCCTCCAATCTCGCACCATCCGGTATTTTTGTAGGTGTTCCAGAGACCAGGGCTAAGATTCCATTCCTGGAAGCCTGGCTCCAGAAGCCTCGGGGCCAAGAGTGGATTTTTATCAGCGTCTACCACATCATGCATGAATCGATGCCCTTGGTTCTGCGCACGTCCTACAGAAAGTTTAAGTCCAAAGGGGAAGTAAAAGAGACAGTCATGGTTCGGCGGGGGTAAACTTGGGTTTTGAGGTGGAAATCTGCGTTCCTCCACGGTATTATCAGTGAAGTGAGCAACAGACATGCTGTAAGCGCCCCCAGCAGGAAATGTCTTCCCCGCCCAGAACCACATTATCCAATTTACGCGGTATCTGCCGTGCGGGATGTTGAACGCCTGGCCCCGGAGTTGGATGTGAACGATCCGCCGGCAAGAGAGAATGGTGTTTCCTGGGGGTCGGATATCTGATTTTTGAAATTTAGTGTCAACAACAACATCATCTGGGTAACCAGATTCGCCTACTTTTTCTCGGTACCAGAATTTCATCCTTGGGGATCCTTCACCAGGATTATCGATATCGTTTTCGTGTCCCGCTGTAAAGACGTCCGCGGGAATAGTGAAGGGTTTCGCGGCGCCAGTGAGTTGTCGCAACCGTGTTGCACAGCGTTCCTTCAGATCAAGAGTCTCGGCGTTGTCGAAATATGCGCTCGTGAAGCCTGCCAGCTTACTCTCTTGGTTCCACTCATCGAGTCCAATTTTGTGGAGACCCTGATCGACATTGAAACGAAAGTATTGGGTATCCTTCTCTCGCTTAAACCTCTTAAATAGCTTATTATGTACTCCAGCAGCAGTTGTCGTTAGGTCAATGAGAACTTTGATTTGCGCAGCCTGAGCTGATAGACCGAAAAGTCTACCGGAATCTGGCAAAGAAGCTTCCGTCTCCTTTCCTGTGCCCAAAGAAAGAAATACTCCAATAGGAACTTCACACCACAACCGTTTTGCTTCATCGTATGCTTGCTCGCCAGGGTTGTTGTAGCCCAGACCAGCGTCCACATAACGAACTGGCGGGTCCCCAATCATCATTGGCCCGAAAAACCCAGTTGCTGCACTTGTGGCTCGAGCCGCCTCCCAAATCTTTGTCCCATCATGTCGATTGTACGTAGTGAATAGATGCGGCTCAGGATTGTTCACTGAGTCGCTGTACACAGCGAGAACAAAGGTTCTGCAATGACGCTCTCCATCCTTGGGTTCCTGGTACATCGTGGCCTCTGGATCTTTTAGAAAATCCTTAACCACCTTTTTAATGGCTGACTCGAGGATCTTTGCATCATAACGCTCTTGACCACCTTTGGACAGCCGAAGCCCGCCAACTGACCAGCCTCGTTGTTCTTGAAATATCTCTTTGGCGAGTTGTCGATAGAGTAAGATAGCCTCTTTGGTCGTGAGTCGGAGGCGTCCAAGAAGTATGGCTATAAGACCACCAGTACTTGTTCCGCCGATAAGATCAAAATAGTCTGCAGGCCTCATCTCTTCTGGTTTCTCTATTCCCTCATCCTCTGCTATTTGGTTCATGATCTCACGAATCATCATCAAGCACGACAAGCCTCGCACCCCGCCGCCATCCAAGGTCAGTATACGTCGTGGAGGCAATGCCATTGTTACCTTTCCACGGGCTGAGAAGCCGGATAGATACCGATGAATAATGTTTGTGTCTGTCGCCTGCAAGCAATTTGTGTCGTTATTGAGTCTTGACAAAGGTATGCGTATAGATTTACAATTGGTCTTGGTCGAGCGAGAAGCGCGGGAAAGCCTAAATATCAATAAATTACTAGCAAGTGACAGTTGTTCAGTTCAGTACTCTGCATGGCTCCAGGCAGCCAGATGCAGACTGCGCGTTCATCACTAGTCCGCCGCCATGAGGGAGAAAGGGAGTTGCATATGCATTAGAAGAGTAGCGTGTCCATATTATTGGCTAGAGGCTGTGGGCTGAGGGCTCAAAGCTGATAGAGATATGGTGCAACTCCCTTTCTCCCTCATGGGCAGTGCCCTTGGGTCTGGCTCAGCCTGCTCGTCATCCTCAGCTGGACCAGCAGCGCGTACAAGGCTGATAACAGAGTTTTCTCACTCCCTAGTCGGTTAGAATCCCCTCTGCTAAGCCCCCGCCAGGGGCTTGGTTCCGTTGCACTCAGACAAGATGATCCATATGCCATGGGAGATCGCAGTCTCAATCTCAAACTTTGAGATAATGGTTTGGCAACAGCATAACCTCACGAATATCTACTGCGGTGGCAACATAATACAAGGTTCAACGCCTCCAAGGTAAGTATCCTGCCAGTGCGGCTCGGCGGCCTTCCTGTTAGCGCAGGCAAACTGCAGAAAGCTTTGGAAGAATGCTCATGCCGGAGGCCCACAACATACGCCGGCCGCACTTGCTGCGCCATAGTACCACTTGCCCCCCGCCTGACCGGTCAATAGCGAGACCGCTTATGTCCGGCCTGTAGCGAGAGCTTACCCAATGGCACGTCAGCCCACTAGCTATCCGCAAGCAGCGCGTTATCGTGGTTGAACCAATCTGGCTGCCCAAGGCAGCTTTGCCTTCCGTGGCTCCAGCCGCGTCCTCATCATAGTTGCTGAGGCTCATTTCTTCCAGTTTGTTCTCCGATACTACTAGCTACTTATCCGCCATAGTAATAGCACCCTTGATCTAATTCTATCTCGAATCTCTGTAGGTAATGCTAGGAGACCGTCCACTAGCTTGCCCAGCCACTAGCTTCGGTACCAGGCTTCACAGCCGCGGGGGCTTAGCCATGTGTTACTTCGCACCTCAGCTGGGGAGAGTTGCAAAGACTCCCATCCGCTTCGTGCGTTTTCAACTCAGATCCTCCTCCAAAGCTAAATGGACTCCACCACAGCACCACAACGGGACGATCATGATGACGATGGAGATCTGGAGGGCCTCGGAGGTCCTGCCCAACCCACCACTGAGACACCAAGATCACAATCTTCTTTCAGCCAAGACATGATTGACGCCCTGCTTTCGGATGAGTTCACGAACAAATTTGATAACGCATTGGATGAGCTGCCCAAGGGAGACTACAGACAGGCTAAGGGTCTTTTCATGATCGGCGGCCAATTCAACCTCTACTACACCAGAACCGCATCTCCGATGCTGCTAGACAATGCTATTTCTTATACAGAAAGAGCGCTAGAAAAGTTACACAAGTCGCATGAGGAGCTCAAAGAATACGTAGTCGTCTACACCCACCTCCTGTAGCAGAAGGCTGAAAAGTCAAACGTGCTCGAGGTTGCCGAACACAGGCTGGAAGTCACCGACCAGTACATCTCAGGCCTCAAATTGGGCATCAGATATCTCGAAGAGTGTAGCCTCAAAGAAGAGAAGAAGCGCGAGTTAGGCTGCGCGTATTGGAGTAGATTTTGGGAATCCAACAATGTCGAAGATCTCGCACTTGCCATTGAGACTCTCGAAGCATGCTTCGAGAACCCGGAGAAGACATTTCCGCAGGCCGCAATCTATCTCGGATCGGCTCTACGCCAACGTTACGACTATGAAAAGAGTCCGAATGACCTAGACCGTTCCGTAGAGTTGCTCCGAAAAGGACTGGAGGCTGTTCCGAGAGACGAAAACCATTACGGTCCCTTGAGAGCCTATGCACTCGGAGTTCTTACCTCTACCTGTGCAAAAATCAACAACAATCCCTACAGTGGCGAGATCCGGAGTCGAGCAATCAACAGCGTCGAGATCGTGCTCTCATCCACGCCTCCTGAAATTGAAGCGTTCGGTCGACTCAGGAAGCAATACCTCAATCTGGTCATGACGCAATGCTTTAAGGAGGCGGAGACTGTACAAGAACTTCTTGACACCCTCGAATTCGGCCTAGACGATAAGCTTGCGGAGAATCAGGATAACATGGCCGTTGTGGAGGTGCCACCAACCACCAAGAAATTGTTCACACTTGACCCTTTATTGGATGGTAAGAAGAATATTAGGCTAGTTAAGCTGCTGCCGGGCACAAAAAGAGATGTCATCCAATGTGAGATATTTGTTGAGCGCCTAGGCGGTGCTCTCCATTACGAAGTAGGTGCTCCATCCAGATCAAGCCCAAGGAAGCGCTGCGCCTCGCTGAATCCAATACAGGCACTCTCCTGTGTCTGGGGCAGTCCAATAGAGACTGAAGAGATATGTGTGAATGGCTGTCTCCACGAGGTCACAAAGAATTTGTACTCAGCACTTCTACGACTGCTTCATACCGAAACAGTACGAACGCTGTGGATTGATGCCCTTGCATCAATCAAAACGATCTCAATGAGAAACGATACCAGATAAGCCTCATGCGCGACATCTATCAGAGTGCAAGCACGGTCATCATGTGGCTTGGTGAGCCCAAATCTGAAGAACAATCTTTTGCGCCCATGGTAGAAAAGGCCGACCAAACATCAGAGAGGTGCTCGAAATCGCTGATTGGAGAGCGAAGTTCCAAATTCAAGAAAGCTGAAGCAGCCTCAGAAAACGAGCCCCACATTTCAGAACACCGTCAGATGCAGGAATGTTTTTCCGATGTCCCTGTTCCACCCCTGTCTCCCGAACAATCTGTGGGAACGGGACAGTTCGAGGCTCTGATGGAGAATTTCATGTGGCTACAACCGATTTTGTTCGGTTGTAAGCCGATGTCGATGATTCCTGATAAAGGATCCCCAGGGTTCATGAGTGTGGCCGAGGACCTTGTCAAGAAAATTGAGCAGGAACAGAAGGTGAATTTGCTATTCCACAATATCCGAATCAGACGCCTGCCGGGCCATGAACTGCACGTCTTCGACTGGACATCTCCCGATAACATCATCTCGTTCTTCAGGTCACCGCAGAGTGCATCAACGTGGCCTACTCTTGGTGCTTTTGCTTTGATCCACTCCTTCGCTCAGTTCATGCATTTTTCTGAGCTTCCGTTCTTTGGAGGCTCTGATACGAACCTCTCCTACCCCAGCACGCAAACTTGGATAAAATCGGCGAGTGAACTAGACAGAATCCTCACCTCGGAGTACTGGCAACGAGCCTGGATCCTACAAGAAGTATTCCTTGCTCAGAAACCAATCGTTCATTATGGGTCTCACATCATGCATCTGAACGAGCTGCTGCTCGCTGGTTATGCCTTCGAAGTTCACTATAATCAGTGCTGTTCAAAATGAGGCGACAAGGCGTACCAAACGTTACACACTTATTGGACGAAGCTGGAGGGAGGGTTCAAGAAGTTCAAGAACTTGTACCTATTGAGACGCGCGCATGGAGCGTCATCAATGTTCTCCGCCGACTCACCTTTGTCAGAGCCGAGCTCACACAACGCCCTGAGCAGCAAGCCTAATCTTGCACTCTCACTCTCGAGTATCATGGGAACCGGGATCGCGAAGCGCAGGGCCACCCACCCGCGAGACCTGGTGTACGGCATCTTGGGACTCGTAGATGGCGACATAGGCATAGAGGAAGATTACACCGCCTCTCTTGCCGAGGTGTTCACGCGAGCCGTGGTGCGTATGATTCGCGAGAAGCAGAGTTTTCAGGTACTCATATTGAATGATCTCGGCCGGCATACTCAACACGGTCTGCCGTCGTGGGTCCCGGACTGGACGTCTGACGGAATGTTCTGTCCTCAGCCGTATCCAGACTCGTTGTATCAGACCGATAAAGGTCGACAATACTACGCTGAGATCGAGGATGAGCTAAAATTGAAAGTCAGAAGCATCAAGGTTGACACCATCAAAAGAGTCAGCAAAATGCGGACCGTGAGTTGGAATAACCCCGGCAAATTAGTGGGGTTACTCAAGGAGTGGAGGTGCATGGTCGGTCTTGATTCGCCAACCCAGCAGAAGGGCCACGACCACGCCAATCTCGAGGATACTTTCTGGAAGACAGTATTTGCAGACATGATGTTAGAGCGCGACATGGAGCACCGACCACCGAACGACTGGCGAGAGGACCGTGATAAAGTACGACGCTTCGAGCCACGCGATATGGTCAAGGTCCAAGCCTGGTGGAACTGGCTGCAGCGCGAAGCGGATTCCAATTTCGTCGGCCCGGAGCTAGAGTGGTACAGTCTATGCACCCGCTCGCATCCGGACAGATTTCACATCGTCACGGACAGTTTCTGGCACACGACCGAAACGCGGAAGATGATATTTGCGGAAAGTGGTCGCATGGGGACGGGGCCAAGCGAGTTTGGGAGCTATATCGAGTTTAGGGATGCGAGGGTCGGGGATGAGGTGCATGTGTTGTTCGGTCTAAGTGTGCCGGTCATTTTACGGGTGCTTGAGGATGGGGAGGAGCGGCCGTCGGCAGTGGGAACAAAGAGATACAGATTTGTAGGACCATGTTATTTGCATGGGATTATGGATGGAGAGGCTGTAGAGGATGGAAACGAAGCTGTCGAGGAAATATTTCTTTGCTAACTTGGAAGCGGGGTAGGTTCTGGGTGAGTGGAAAATGGAGCAAACGATATTGGGATCTTGAAGTAAAGATTGTTAAGGTAAACATGCACCTATCTCTCTAAGAATGTATGCAGATTTGGTCAGTATAGCGGCTCAAAATGCATGCTGCTGTTATCGTTCTTGCCCAGAACTGCTCTACAAATTAGACCAAGCAAGTGGAATGAGCGATGTCATGCTTAGTATTTTAGTAGGAGGCGATGAGAAAATGGCGACGCTGCTGCTCGATAAAGCAGCCGACGCTAACGCCAACGCTCACAGTGGATGGTACGGCAACGCACTCTAGGCGGCCTTTTCCTTGAGGCCACGAGCGGATTGTGAAGATGCTGCTCGACAAGGGTGCCGACGACGTCAATGCTTGGGGTGGATGGCTCGGCAACGCAGCCCGGGCGACTTTATTTTGGTGGCATGAGAAAACGGCGAAGTTGCTGCCCGACGAGGATGCACATCGGTTTGTGTAGGATAGTATATCAAGAAACTCGGCATGGTCAACCCAGGACCCATCCAAGCAGGGAGGGCGGCCGACCCGCTCCGGCCATAAGGTTGCCATGAACGTTTGCACTATCTAACGTTGCGAAGAGATGTAACGTTAAAGGTTACTATCAATACTAGAAGACGGCATATAGCCTGATATAGTGTAATACCTTACTAAGCATAGCTACTATCAGATCTCTGTTCCACGTGATCTAGCGCTTATAAGCATCAATGATCCGAGTTTCTTGTTGCCCTCAGAGACCAAGCTAAAACACATTTTCACGCCCCTAACGATTGCAGTGCTCTTTCAAGGGTTGAAGATCATGTAAAGGTTAAGCATTCTCAAGACAAAAATTTTGATAGGGGCGTTTTCTAGCGCGTTATTCTTGAGAGTAGTTTAAGGCACGTTACAAATAGAAGTAGCACGTCTTTAGCTATGTGTAAGCCTAGAAGTATCATGTATAGTCACGTGGTTGCCCACTAACTAATAATACTGTATTTAAACTTGCTTCTATTATAATACACACTACAATATAACGTACCTCACGGGTTCGCCGGCCACTTTTGCCAAGACCCCACCAAAACCACCACATTATGGCCCAAAATAGCCCACTTTAGACCTGCATAGCGTAAAGAAATATAAGATATTATTCTAAGTCTACTTCTACTACCTACTTACACGTTCGCGCATTATGCCTAGTCCTATTATACTATCTATATCGCCTTTAAGATAGTTTACCCTCTTTAGCGCGTTTCTACTTCTTTAACTTCTTTCTATTACTACGCGCACTAAAGTTCTAGAGAGTAGCTAAGCGCTTCTTATCTTTAACTATTAAGGTCTCTTTTATCTAAACTTATTTTCTTTTATATAATTTTTATCGCGTAGTAGCTATATTAGCTACTTTAAGCTTAGTAATCTACTTTTATACTGATACTAGCTTATACGCGATAATAGCTACCCTCTTTAAGACCTTTTTAAAGGCCTCTATTATAGACGTTAGTAAACTATTTATATATCTTTAAATTCTCTACTTTACTAGCGTTAATTATAACTCTAATTCTAGCGTATTACTAGAGGTTTATAATATCTAGGGCTAGTTATAGATAGATAGGGGTTGTTACGGTTCGGGCTCATAGGCAGAAAGGACAGGCACGTGTACAGGGTATATTGCTACAGCTAAT